AATAGTTTTAAGTGTGAGGCTGGAAACGTGCAGAGATGGATACAGAGCAATTTCAACCGGGGTTGCCTCCTCTTTGGCATGTTTCTCAGCCAATGATCATCTCAACTCATCATCATCATCATTGGTAAAAAGAAATTTTTTCTTTCTGCTGGGCATATAACAAAAGTCAAATCTCTTATGGGAATATGTCTAAATTTCATGAATGAGTATTTCTTTATAAATTTAGTTTTTCTTTGTGTTTTCATATTGCAAAACCATAGGGGTTTAGATATTTCTGAATGTGGGTGCATGATAGGTACCGGGCCTAATAGACTGTTAAGAATTGGGCCTAATGGACCCAGAAATAATAATAAAGTAGTGAGTAGCTAATATGTACAGTTTGTAGTGGGAATACTATAAATAGAAGTTAGATGGGAGTAGCAAGGGAGGCTTTCTCTTTCTTTTGGGGGATTATTTTGGGACTTGGGAAGATCGAGAACTTTCTCTTTCTTTTAGGGGGCTTCGGCTCATTGGGGGCTTCGGCCATACTCTCTCAGTCTCTCTCTCTTCAATTTCTGTAATTGTTCTTCTTCATCAATAAAAATTCATCTGTTTCTTGTTAATCTTTATGTTAATTGTATGGATTGCTGGAGTTCTCTATCATTGGTATCAGAGAGAGATGATCACTGGATGAGACAAACTCGAGCGAAGATGGAAGGACGCGTGAATGACATCGAGAGGCAGATGGTGGAGTTCGGAAGAAACATGACGGAGATGCGAGAGTCGCATATGAGTATGGAGAGGAATCTAGCAACGAGTGTCGCAGTGTTGCAAGCTAGTATCGCGACAGTGCTGAATCGAGGTCCAGATTGCTTGAGGAGCAATTCACATCACTCAGCGACTTCTCATCGCACATCTCATCATCGTAGAAAGACGAAAGAAGAGGACAGTTCAGAAGGATCGGATCATCATTCTATTTCTCATCGTAGTCGAGATCAACATAGGTATTATCGAAATCATCATCTGATAGGCAGAAAAATTGATTTACCTCTTTTCAATAGGGAAGACGCCTTCGGTTGGCTGGTTAGAATGAACCGATATTTCCGCTTGAATCAAACTGAAGCGGAACAGAAAATTGATGTCGTTGTAGTTGCTATGGAGGACCACGCTCTCAGCTGGTTTCAATGGTGGGAGAGGCAGGCTACGCATCAAAACTGGGACTCTTTTACTCAAGCTTTGACCAAGCGATTTCAACCTGATCTGGTACAGGATCCGCTGGGGCCTCTGTTTAGCCTGAAGCAGAAGGGGACAATTCAGGAGTACCGAGACAAATTTGAAACTGCTATCGCGTCACAAGGCCACTTAACTGAAGAAGTCTTGAGAGGAGTCTTTCTTAAGGGATTGAAAAGAGATATAAGAGCAGAATTGAAGTTACATTGTACTAGAACGTTGGCAGAAGTTATGGATACTGCTTCCGCAATTGAGAATAAGAATTCTGAAACCTTGTTTGTGAAGAATAAGGATGAAGGAAAGAGGAGAAGGCAGAATTAACCTAGCCTTCCAAATTCAAGCCAGAAATGGGGAGAAGGGAGTAGATGGCAGAGCTTAAGCCACCCTACTGCTAGTGTTGATAAAGGTTCAGGGGATTCCAAGACTAAGGAGGAAGGCATAGACCTAAATTTCAGAAGGGAAGGTCCCAGATTATCCAAGAAGAACTTTTGGACAGAAGCAAGAAGGGACTCTGCTTCAAATGTGGGGAAAATTGGAACCGAGGTCATGTCTGCAAAATGAAACACTATAAAATTATTCTTGTGGAGGATTCTGGAGGAGAAAAAGAAACTGAATCTGTCAGGAAGGATACCAAGGAGGAAGATGAAACTGAAATGGAATTCAGAACTATGCAAATATCTTCAATAAGTAAGGAAGAGATTCCAAGCATGAAAACATTCAAGATGAAAGGAGAATTGAAGTGGAAATCTAGAGAAAAGAAGGTTGAAATCCTTATACATACTGGTGCATCCCATAACTTCATTTCTCAAGAGTTTGTGAGAAAATGGGAGTTACCCTACCATATGATAAGAAGATACTCTATACAGATAGGTAATGGAGATCAAATCACTAACAATAGAATATGTGAGGGGTTGGAATTGGAACTGCAAGGGCTGAAAATACAACAACCTTTCTATATGTTTGAGTGGAGGGGAACAGATATGGTGTTGGGCATGGACTGGCTTACAAGCTTGGGAGATACTCAGATTAACTTCCAAAATCAGACCATCAAATTGGAGGTTCAGGGGCAGAAGGTAATCATACATGGAGATCCTTCATTAAATAAGACTGGAAAAGGAAAATTACTGAGCTATCAAGGGTTACCTAATGGCATTGAAGAGGAAAGTGTTCAAAAGCCAGAAGTTGATGACCTCTATTTTGCAGCAGGATGCACCTTAGCCTCCAAATAATCTGAAGGAATCAAAATTCTGGATAAAGTGTTCTGGAATCGGTATAACTCTGCTGTGAAATACATAAGGAGTAGGATGGGAGTAGCAAAGCTACAGGTCCAACAGGCAATCAAGTATTGGAAAGGGAGGGGTGGGGTACTAGAATGAAGGAAAAGAAGGAGGTTTTGGTTGTTTCCTATCAACCACCTTGATGGCAAGGTGGATGTTTAGGGGGAGTATTGATAGGTACCGGGCCTAATAGACTGTTAAGAATTGGGCCTAATGGACCCAGAAATAATAATAAAGTAGTGAGTAGCTAATATCTACAGTTTGTAGTGGGAATACTATAAATAGAAGTTAGATGGGAGTAGCAAGGGGTTTTTTGGGAGGTTATTTTGGGACTTGGGAAGATCGAGAACTTTCTCTTTCTTTTTGGGGGGCTTTGGCTCATTGGGGGCTTCGGCCATACTCTCTCTTCTATTTCTGTAATTGTTCTTCTTCATCAATAAAAATTCATCTGTTTCTTGTAATTGGTCTTAAAATGTCAGATTTGTCTTTCAAAGAACCATATAAGGGATGCTTTTTTATAATCAAGTCCATCATTCATCTGGAAAGATGCAAAGTATAATTGGTGGAATATGCAACTCTCTTTAAGCATTATATATGTACTGTTGCAAAGCTGCTATGTGGTGTGGTCAGAATAGGTTACTTGTTGCATATAGTAACTAAATGCTTTTACTACTTCCTAATAGAATGTCTATTTTAATTAGCTCATACTATGGTATACTCCGTAGTATTAACTTCTAAACAATTTGAGCAATCCACTTAGATAGATCACTCGCGGATGCTGCATTTTGCGCTTTCTATGTGTGGTATATAGCAAAGTTAGAAACCTTTCTGGGTAGATGGCTATACTTCATGACTGAGTTTGTGTTCTTATTCATTTATCTGTAAAAAGACTTTTTCTTTGTGTTGGATAAATAGAAAAAGTCAAATCTCTTCTGGGCAGATGTCTAAATGTCTTCAATGAGTATTTTTATAATAAAATCTCTTCTGGGTATTTCTTTGTGATATCATATGGGGTTTAGATAATTCTGAATGTGGTTGCATGGTCTTAAAATGTCACGTTTGTCTTTCAAAGAACCATATAATAAGGGATGATTTTTATAATCAAGTCCAACGTTCATTTGGAAAGATGCAAAGTATGAATGTGGAATATGCAACTCTCTTTGAGCAATATGTATGTACTGCTGCAGAGCAGCTATATGGTGTGGTCAGAATAGGTTACTTGTTGCGTATAGTAACTAAATGCTTTTACTACTTCCTAATAGAATGTCTATTTTAATTGGCTCATACTATAGTATCATACTCCGTAGTATTAACTTTTATACCATTTGAGCAATCCACTTAGATCACTCGCGGATGCTGCATTTTGCGCTTTCTGTGTGTGGTATATAGTAAAGTTAGAAACTATTCTCATATTCTGGGTAGATGGCTATACTTCATGACTGAGTTTGTGTTCTTATCCATATATCTGTAAAAGATTTTTTCTTTCTGCTGGGTATATAGCAAAAGTCAAATCGCTTCTGGACAGAAGTTTAAATTTCATGAATGAGTGTTTTTTATGAATTTATTTTTTCTCTGTGTTTTCATATAGCGAAATCATACGGGGTTTAGATAATTCTGAATGTGGGTGCATGTCTTAAAATGTCAGGTTTGTCTTTTAAAGAACCATATAAGGGATGATTTTTAATAATCAAGTCCAACATTCATCTGGGAAGATGCAAAATATGAATGTGGAATATGCAGCTCTCTTTTATGAGCATTATATATGAACTGCTGCTGAGCTGCTATATTGTTACTTGTTGCACAACTAAATACTTTTTTACCACTTCCTAATAGAATGTATGTTTTAATTAGTTCATACCATAGTACTACGTCTACTAGTGTGAACTTTTATACTATAATTAGTGCTGGACTCGGGCCGGTTCGGGCCCGGTTCGGGCCTGGGCCCGGCCGGGCCTCGGGCCAGGAAAGGGAGGCCCGAGCCCGAACCGCGGTGGCCGGTTCCGGTCCCGGTTCCGGGCCAAACCGGGTCGGGCCGGGCCGGGCCGAACCGGCCCAATTATTTTTTTTTTTGTTCTCCTATTTAATCCCCTACCCCTCCCCCTCAACCCCAAACCATCCTAAACCACCTCAAATGGCCCAAAATACCTAATCCAACCTAAAACTTAAAAAAATTTCAAAAAAAAAACAAATTTAAAATCCGGCCCGGACCGGGCCCGAACCGGCCGGGCCGGTTCACCAAAACCTGGGCCCGGGCCCGAACCGCCCAGCAGCCGGGCCGGGCCGAACCGAACCGAGGGACCCACCGGGCCCCGGGCCGGGCCAAACAGTAACCGGGCCGGGCCGGTTCCGGGCCGGGCCGCCCGGCCCGAGTCCAGCACTAACTATAATACACTCTCTAAATCATTTCACTTTAACTACTTCCTAACTTGAACTTTTGTATTATGTATCTAAATTATTTCACTTTTACTCTTGACTTGAAGCTTGGATTTTCTTGATTAGGTGATCAATAACAAAGATACATGTGGTTGAGCATGTAAATAAAAAGAGATTTATAAAAATGAATGATCAAGAATCAGATTCTGGATTCCTCAGTGTTTTTGATGTAGACAAGTTCTATTATTCCTATGGAGAAAGTGGTCAGCATGAAGCTGGAATTGGTCCACAACAGCATGCTGATGATGACACAGTTTATTATAACAACACCAATCCAGTTGAGGAAATTTCTCATGCGTTTCAAAACCAGCTCTCAATTACAGGAGAATCTAGAGCTTACTATATCGAAGGATGTTATCATGGCCAACAATTCCCCAGTGATGATGGTGTCTAGTTATGGTAGGTTACTGATGACTATCTATCAAAGAATCATTTTTCTGGTACGGTTAAGTTTTCAATCTTTTTACCCACATGTTCCTTACATATATTAACATTACATATGCCATGATGGATGAACTTTATTATATTCTCATCAAATAATAACGAAGTTCCAGAAGAGTCTATTTGCTTTGGACCATCTTCCTCTAGCCACCCTGCTGAAGACAGACGTTCAAGTGGTGAAGAACCCAATCAGGCATCGGGAATAAAATATGAATCATAGTTTGATGATGATAACGCCAGGCAGCTCAATGAAGTTGATGTTGTTCCAGTGAGTATACATTTTGTTGTAATTTTTTATGGCAAATTCGAATTGAAACTTATATTGCGCTCCTTTCATGCCGCTCGTTCCTAGAATAAATACACATATACCTCCGGACGATGAAGCCACATCTCATAAAGAAAGGCTTCTAAATAGGTAATTGTTAGTCTTTGGAAATGTTTTCAATAAAGAGACATTTTTTTTTTTACTCCAGGGGGGTCTGGGGGAGGGGGGCTGGGGGAGCCTGGAGTAATCAGGGCTGAAACTCAATCCATTGAGTTTCACACCCTTGTGTGCCTAGCGGGATTCGAACACGAGACCTCTCGCTAGGCACGGTAACCTTGCAACCAGCTAGGCTGGAGTGCTTGGTTAAAAAGACATTAATGATGTTTCTTAGACAAACTTCATTTTGAAGCTTGAACTGGTTTTTCGTTATTATGTTCGGGTGTAAATGTGTAATGACTTTTAAAGCACCGATGCAGAAACAGTTACGATGTAATTTATGTGCATGTTTAGTGCAAGTACTGTGTGAGCTAATAACCTAAAAACAACCTAGAGATACTATAAATGCCCAATTAGCAGTAATTGGACCGAAACGATATTTGCTTTTAAAAGTTTATCGAAGTAAAAATTATGCACACTTCCTGAGAACTTTTCATTTGGAAAAAGTTCTTTGCTTTTTCATGATATTTGCATAATTCTTCCTTTGGACATCTTGAAACTTTTTTGTTTTTCATTAAAGTTGTTAGTGACTTTATAAAATTTGGACAAAGTTCTTTTTACTCACTTTATCTTGTGCACTTTCAATATTTCTGTTTTTAGATTGCAACGTTGTGACCTGGTTGAGAACATAGTTGAAGGGGATGGGAAACTGTCAGTTTATCTCCTTCACTTTCCATTTAGTTGCATATTTCTTTCCCTTACTGACTTTTTAGTAAAAACTTTTTTTTATTTCGGTTTTATCTTCTGGTTTCGTGCTCTATCAGATCAGTTTTATCGGATGCCCGAACATCACAGTTTTGTGAGACAACAAGTTGTTAATCAGGTGATTCTCAGTAGATCTTATTTTTACGGATACTTAATATGGATTTTCTTGAGCACCTATTCACTGTGATCTTTTATAATTTTCAATTCCACCAACTTATGAATCACCCAGAGATGTGTGTGGCGTATGTACCAATGGCTTATGGAGATTATCTGAAGAGGATGATGGAGTACTACTCAGTTCTCCCTTGATTTATTTTTCCTACTTCTTTAATTTCATAACGTTCTTATTTCTAACTAAATAAGGTATGCATTTATTAATTACTATTAACAAATTCAAGTATGAAGAGTGGGGTGATCATGTAACATTACAAGTTGCTGGTGACTTGGTATTAATCAAGTCTTCTTTACCAACAAGTTTAAATTACATCTAATAATATTTTGTAATAACATATGTAGGTGACACTTTTTACTTGTTGGATAGTATGGTGTGAAGATTGTTATCATAACATCATACAAGGAGACATGTTTCATCGAGATCCTTTCGAGGACACAAAAGTCAAATAGAGGTAATTTCCTTTTGATTCTTCTAAATGTGGTACATTTCTAACGTTCTTTATCAGATGATACAATTGAAAATAAATTTATTATGGAAAGGGCATTTATTGCATGGAGAGAAATTTTTCTATTTTAGCTAACTGGAATAATCAATAGAACAAATTAAAATAAGGGAATATTGTGCATTGCAAGATAGGATTTTGTACGTAGCTTGACTTCTACCTTTTCAGTAAGAGAACAAATTTCCGTAAGAGAAGTGATTTGTTTCATAATCTCTGCTTCTATTGATCATATCTTCAAAGTGATTTGTTTCATAATCTCTGCTTCTATTGATCATAATCTCTGCATTGCAAGATAGGATTTTGTACGTAGCCTTATTAACATTTTTCGAAAATATCATACTCCGTAAGAGTTTTGCATTAGTAAGACGCTAATACATCATTGATGAACACATTGTCACTTTTTTGTTGTTGCGGTGTATATAGTATTGTCCTTTCAAAACTCTGTGCATACTGTGTGCGCAGTGTGTGTGGATCATGTGCATATTTTGTGCAATAGATCTAAAAGATTTATCTTCCCAAGTTGAGCATTAGTATAATTTTGCTTATGATAATGTGACCATTTGACCTTTTATCTCTCCATGCAGTCATATATTTGAGTTTTTGAGCGGAGGTGCACTATAATTCTATTTATCCTCATGGAGGTATCAACCACTCGGATAAAGGGATTCATACTTCTGAGGATGTCCACTCTAACTGCTCTCCTGCAGGTGAGTGTACATAGAAATATTTTTATTAGTTTATAGTATGTCAAATTTTATACTTCCGAGGAAGTAGTATTTCAAATTTTGTTAGAATGTACTCACTGATTGATGCATTAGTTCCTTCTCTAAAACCAAAAAATGATTATTTTAGTTGCAAGTTCTCGTTTGGGAGACTTGAAGGTGAAGAAAAAGAAGTGGTGGAATTTCTTAAAAAAGAAATAGAGGTAAATAGAGATATTATAGAAGGGAGACAGCTTTTTCAATGACTTCATTTTTATTTCTCACTCTCTCTCTCTCTCTCTCTCTCTTGATTGGTCAAGTCTTTCTTTTCTTATTCTTCTTCCTTTTATCTTCTTGAGTAGTTCATTTGATAAATGCATGTGAGACTCGGAAAAGGGGATTTGTTAGGACTTTTTCTGGTGTCCAATCTAGTTAGATGTCTTTGTATCTGTGTAGTTGTTAGTTAAATGTGTAATATGGGCCACAATTGAATATTAGCCCATTAGCCTCTCTTGTAAGCCATAAGTTAGCCATCCTCTCCTATAAAAGGAGGCTAACTTATGAGAAAACCAAGAGAAGGCATAGAGTATAGAGGTAGAATAGAGAATAGATTAGTTTTTACGCTGCTCTCTCTCTCTCTAGAGAGAGAGCAGCGGCCGGTTTACACGGTGTACCAAAGTTCTCGATACTTTGATATGAATGATAAATCTATCTGCTTCTTCTTTCATTCTTATGGTTGTATGATTGTTAGAAATAGGGACTAACACGTGGTATCAGAGCCGAGGCGTGAAATAGATCGAATCCATCTGCATTTTTCGGATCTGCCTTTATCGAGAAAGACCACACCTATTTAAAAAAAACTGAGTTTTTGATATTTTGGTTTGATGATCTGTTTTCAATGTTTTTCAGCGATTTCTGGAAGATTAGGATCGAAATCTGTTTGAAAACAACCTGCAATTACATTTGTGAAGAAATCTTTGTTTTTACAGTTGCAGATTTTCGAAGCTTGGTGTTTCTCGATGTTTTGGAAGTTTTTCGATGTTTTTTCAGTTTAACCTCTGAAATCTTGTTTTTGATCCAATCACTGTAAAAGGTATAGTGTTAGAATCGCCTCTCAGAACCGATCAAGCAGTATATCTTCATTTTTGAAACCTGTAAATTTCGGATTTTCGATTTCTCGATATTTTTCTCATCGAAAACAGGTTCTCGCAGTTTGATGGTCGAAGAACAAGCTTCTCGATATTGTCTTTTCGAAAACAGGCGTCTCGCAGGTTGAACTTCGAAAACAGGTTTCTCGCTGGTTGAACTTCGAAAACAAGTTTCTCGCAGGTTGAACTTCGAAAACAGGTTTCTCGCAGATTGAAGTTCGAAAACACGTTTCTCAAAGTTTGGAGTTCGAAAACATGTTTCTCGACATTCAATATCAAAAAAAAAAGTTTTTGATATTCAAACATCGAGAAAAAGTTTTCGATATTCAAACATCGAGAAGAAGTTTTCGATATTCATTCATCGAGAAGACGTTTTCGATATTCAATCTTCGAGAAGAAGTTTTCGATATTCAACATCGAGAAGACGTTTTCGATATTTAACATCGAGAAGATGTTTTCGATATCCAACATCGAGAAGACATTTTCGATATTTTATATCGAGAAAAAGTTTTCGAGGTCCAACATCGAGAAAACGTTTTCGAGGTCCAACATCGAGAACCTCAGCTTCGAAAAGTTTTACTAAGTTAATTCAAACTTTTCGATGTCCTGCACTGTTTTGGCCATAACTTTTGACTCGGTGATCCGATTTACGCGTATAATACCTTTTCGGAAAGCTCGTGAAAAGATCTACATGAATTCCCGAGGGAACCCTAGAACCTAATCTCACGCTCCCTCACTCGCCGTTTTTGAGAGAGATATCACCTGTTTTCCGAAAAATCACCAAAGTCAAAGTCAAGGTCAAAACTGAGGCAAATCTGGTCAATTCTTCCAAAATCAAACCAAAGTCAAACCAAATGTCAAAGTTGGTCTAATGTACATTGTAAGGTCCGGAACTCGTAGATAATTCAATCAACCTCGCGTCAACGGTCATTTCACAACAATCAACAATCAACTACTGATGCCTCCCCTAACTCATCAACAATGTGTGATCATCACTTTGCTGAAATTCTAGAAGTTGAGTTCAGGGTAAATCGTCATGTGTGGTACTTGTACAGATTGCTCCATACACATGGCAGGTATATCAAGCTGTGAGCAATCAAACCTTGCACAATCTGAGGGGGAGTTACAGCTTTCTCCTCCTGGCGCCACACAACGACAAAGCAAGGATTCTCTCAAAGGATGCAACATTTGAGTGGGAGTTTTCAATTTTACCCTCCTCGGTACCGAACGATGAAAAAGCATACTGAGTGCTTCTGTTGAGGGGGAGTACAGAGAGAAAATGAAGAAACAAAGAGAATGAGAGAGAAGTCCCTATGGCTTAGTAAACCCAACTAAGCCTACCCAAGGGACAAAGCTGAGAGTAAATGAGTGAATGTGTGAGCTAGTGAATACTATGAGCGTTAGGAAGCAGAAGGCTCAAGTGAGCAAGAAAACAATATTCAATGATAAGTCTGCTACCTCAACTGCCTACTATCAATTGATCAATTACTCTCAGTCACTCAAATACTCTGGACAATCCCCATAGG